AAATCTGAAAAATTAATTTGAAGTTGGAACACTATTATACTTTCACACTGATCCTCATGTTTGTATTGTATTTCTGTACTGATCACTTTAGATTTAAATTTTAGAAATTTTAGAATTTTGCATTTGTTCTTGCATCATCAGGTATAATTTGAGTTGTAGCTATTTAATTAACATGAAGGTGGAGGCCCACGACAGAGGCAGAGGACTCTTTCTCTTACTGTTTTTGTTTGCAGTTTCTCAGTCAGTCTGGTTCCTCAGTTAACTCTTCTCTTTTTCTCTCTTAACTCGTACAATTTGCATTTTTTCCATGTCAGCCCACCTTTTCCTGCTGCCATGTCGACTGCTTGTTCCCTCCAGTTCCTGCTCTTTTACTGCTCTTTCTCTCTGCATGAGAGTTACTGCTGAAGGGTGTGAGGTGAGGAGGGCAACCACAGTCGATAGCCAGACCTTGGCAGCACCCACTAATGCACTATACGCACACACATACACATTGTTTCAATGGTCGGGAGATGCACAGTGAGGGGTGAGGCAGCCTGATTGATTGGCTATGCTGGGGGCCTTGGTTGTGGTAAATGGTGCCCATGACCCTGTTTGATGCACTGCCATCTGGTTTCTCCCACCCAGAAATGCTCTCTTTCACTCTGAACTCCACACTGTGGGTCCTCTCTATGTTACCGACATTTTTTTAATAATTTATTATTTATGTATTTTCCCCCATATTCAATTTGAAGACATCTAACTGTTTATTTGTAAGTTATAGTAAACACCAAGTCAGCCCTTCAGCATTTTGAAAATATGAGGGTCAAGTCTCTAACATAACTTTTACCACAGAATGAGGTTGCCTACTAATAGTCCACATCAATATCATGGTCCACTGAGTAGTACAACTAACCTTCTGTGTTTTACATTTTGACAAAAGGAAATGTTTACAGACCCATGGCCTAACTCTCCAGCACATATCCTTGAAATGTTTGAACAGTTTTTTTTTTTAAATGTCCTGCTAACAACAAACAAACAGGACCCAAAACACAACCTCTTTGGTGGAGGCACGGTAATAAAAAATTATATTACAAATGCTGTTGAAGAAAAATAATTAAGATTCAAGGTGTTCTGGAGATTCTGACTGGATCCCACAATCTTTAGTCTTCCTCAGCAGATTGATTTGATATGATAAATGGTACTTATTAAAGTTTTAATGCTTGTAATGTTAAAAGATTTTTAGGTCTAGTTATTGTTTATTAGTATTATCATAACTGCCCTGCTATCGCACTTTATATTAAAGTTTCCTTTCGCATGCAGCACTTCATTTATGGTTTGGAAATCATTGTTGTGGAGCAAGTGAGTCCATGTTACTAACTAGCTTGCCATTTACAATTCACCCCATCATCTATCCCTGCGCCTGACCCACACCAATCCCAGTTTAGCTAAATAACATATCCACTTAGCATCCATATTATAGTGATAAAGTTAAGAAGGTTAGCCAGCCAGCTACATCCCAGTCATGCTGAATATCCGGTGCCAGCGGCACTGCAACGCCAGCTGCCATAGTAACCTGCAAACGGCACGCCAGCCAGATCAGTGCCAGGAGTCCGGATGAAGTTAGCTGACAGGGTGCCAGTCGAATGTAGACGTTACAACTTAATTTATAAGGTAGCATTAGCATTTGCACACTGTTGACACTGTAGTGAAGTGGAAGAGAGAAGGCACATGGGAATGGGTGTTGCATTCTTTGGATTTATGTGGAAAATCTAATCAGCAACCAATCTGACCTCAGGCAACTGAGAAAGACAGGTAAGGTCTGACACTCGTTACAACCTGTTTAATCTTTGGCAATAAAAATTGATTTAAAAACGCAAATATTATTTTAAAAGCTTTTAAAAAAACTTTAAAAGTGACCAGGCAGATTTTTTTACCAAACTATAACGTGTATTTTTACTCTGATTCCCTGCAAACTTCATACTAATTATTACCAGTAATAAAAAAAAGTGTTTCCAAAAGCATGAACCACTTGACAGTTATCTGAATATACTGGTCAGGCTTTGCTACATGATTTGTTGAGAATGAACTTATTCCAGGTGTTACACCTTTCTTTTACATTAGGCTTTACAAAATGTGGATGGATGTTTTCTATTCTGCAGGTATGGAGTTAAAAGATGAGCTTTCATCTTCATCATTCGCATAATACAGTCAAGACAAAGGGAAGGAGTTCACATTTTAACACTGCATTGATTATATTAGGAAGTTTGGACATCCTCATATGAGCTGTGCATTCATTTCAAAAAGGCTGACTCATCACCACAGGGAGTCTTAATAATCTCCAAAAAAACTCTGTAAATATTATAATTAAGTTATTTGCAAAGAGATTCTGAGATGATTATGTTTACTGTAATACATCTGAAATGAGTTGAGTTGTTATAATGAGCATTGTGTTCTATTGGCTTGTTTGCCCTCTCCAGCTGTACATTTTTTTCAAGATGAAGCAGCCTCTATAAGGATATATGGTATAGCTCTGATTAGTGCTTGACTTGTCTTTTTGAAGTTTATTGTCTCAACTTTTTTGTTATCCCTGTGATGAAAAGTCTCAAAAGTTGGCAAATTGATGACACTTAAAAAAGTCATCTTTTTTTTAACTTTTTTTTTTTTACTATTTTTAATATTAACATTCAATATATAATTCATTATGTTGGACTTCTGCATGTTTAAGTACTTCTAAATAAAGTTTTCTATCTTTCTTAATTGTGTTACTGGTTGTTTTTTCTTACTAATTTTCCTTCAACCACCATGTTTGTCTAGATTCTGGTTTGGTTGGCTAACTGTTCCCTGGAAAAAAAAAACACCTTAATCTCAGTATGAATGCACACACAAAAATAGGCCAAACACTGTGCTTATACCCTGACAAGGCCATTTGCTGGCTAATCAGAATAGAGATTTAAAGTACAGTGGATACAAAAAGACACATGAAGAGTTCTTCCTCTTTCTCATCTCTCTTTTTACTCCTCTTCTGGTTAAAAATACCACTAGGCTGACAGACAATGAGCTATAAGCACAATTAGACTGTGGCGGTGCCTGCCACCCACTCACACTGTCCTGTGTCTTCCAACCCTTCCACAGTCAGCCTCTCTCTCTCTGTTCTCTCTTCCCTCCTTTCTCACCCATTGATTCAATGCCATTCCTTAAAATGGATGACAATATTAATTTCCTTTGATCTGAACCAAAGTACAAAAGATTACTTAGGTTCAGTAGGTTCACATGAACATTTATAAACATACCAGGACTAAATAAAAATCCCCAAAGGAGTCGGACTTGAGTTCAGATAACTTTGACTAAAAGGGTGAGCCGACACACATGGTTGCTGAGCCGATTATAGTTATAATAGTATGACAAGAGATTAGACAACGTTTGCTAAGTCTAATTCAGTCTCGGCCAGATGGTGTTGTTGGTAGGGAGACAAAATCATACACTGTGTGACAGTAATTCATTTTTTAGCCACTGGGAGGCAGAAAAACAAGCTGTAAACACAATACTGACATATCATGTGAGGGATAATGCCAGACGAGGTGTCCATTATCAGGCATTAATGGACTACGGAAAGGCCAGTGCGATGATGATTGCTTCTGCAGAGCCACGATTATCATTTGTTCACAAACAATTAGCAAAAAGGATGTGAAATGATCGCTTATACAAAGTATCAGTGAGTTCACAGGGGCAATGTAGGGGCTTGTGTGTTACAGTCGCCCTCCTGTGGTGTTCAGAGGCATGAAAGGACTACACTCAGTGTTTTGAGTATCTATAAGATATTCAGATTTTGTTTTCATTCAGTTTATTCTCATGTTTTAATGTCTTTCTTTGTAATCTGTGATGTGAAAACATCTGATTTCTGCACAGTCAGAGAAAGTAAAAGTGTGCATCATGCTCATAGTTATAAAATCCCAGCACTCCACAGAGCGTCTCTCCTGCCGGGCCGTCAGCTCAAGAGTCAATCTTGGTTAACGGCAGCTGACGAGGTTGTACCACCGTCTGCTTTGAAAGAGGTTTACTGAAAGTCAGCACCGGAGCAACCAAAAGACTTGAGTCAGGCTGCCCTGCCTCTCGTTGTTCGGTGCCATACTGTCCTCTGTTAACTATCACTCTTCTCCGCTTCCATTACAGTTGGTTTGTAAAGCTTACAGTCCGCCATGCTGTCTCTCTGTGTACACTGACACAGCTACAAAACAAAAGTGCAGAGATTCGATTGATGGAAAGTGAGTCGACTCAGGGTCTTCTCGACTGATGATACAAATCGCATAGTTTCGTGGGCCAGCCCTGCGAAAAATAGTCCAATATTGACTCTCTTTTTAGTTTAGTTTTATCTCTGTTTTGATCTATAACTCCTGAGAAAAACATACAAAACCGTTGCATGGTGCAGCTGAAAGAGATGGTTGATAAGAACATAGTTATAGGCAAGAAAATCAAATCAGTTGTCCAAAACAGACCGAAAGGATACGTAAAGCTGAGGGTTATTTCACCCGTCAGCTCTACGAGGCATTCCAGCAATTTTCAGCTCATTGTTTTGTTTTTTTCAGCCCACAACTTCTCACCGCTTCCATCAACTCGTTTTCAGTTTCAGCAGGCAGATGTTTTCAGTGAAAAGGCTCTGATACTTGCCCAAACGGCAGACAGTCGCAGCAAATAGCTGGTGAGCATAATGTGACATTTAGTAGCTGAAGAGCCATATATTTCCCTTAGGGCTTAGGCCAAGAAAAGTGAATATTGGACTGACATTCATCAGGTAGAAACAGAGATGACTGCAGATGAAACACAATGAAGACCATATGAAGAAATAATGACCATTAATCTAGACTACCTCTTTGTTGTTAGGGCTTTCTAGGTGTGAGGCACAGCTGGCAATCAGATGCCAACCCCCTGCTCCCTCACTTCTACTAATCAGTGTTTGTGTTTACGGGGTCATTTGTAATGAGCCACCTTGCAGTTTACTTGGTACTGCTGTCACCTGCCTAAACACATTAAACAGTAAACACTCCACTGAAGACTTGGTGCAAACACACCTTTAGTCACTCCCCATAATCATTCAGTCAGTGAGCTGCATCAAGGCAGTCGGGCACTCTGACTCAAACACAGTTTGTAACTCATTAATTCAGCCACTTGCTCATTGACTTGCTGCAGCAATCACTGAGTCACTTGCTCTCCTCTTATTTTCGCTCTCTCCTTTTGTTGAATTGTCATTTATATTTGTTCTATTTTGCCTCTCCCAATTTCCTGATTTCTCTTGTTTCCCCCCACCTCTCCTTTGTTTCTGCCTTTTGTTTGTTTATTTACTTGTTTTTTTCTTTCTTTCTGCCTCAGCCAGCGTACTTCTAAAAATACCTGTTCTCATCTGCAGGTGCTATAATTTTATGTGAGTGTGATTATAAATGTAGCTTGTACTGACTTGCTGTATGAGATGCAGCAATCAGGGAGCTGAAGAATGAGAGCCACCGTCGCCACTGCCAACACTCATAGTATTTTTAGAATGGTGGAGACAGCGGCCATTTAATATCTTTGCATATGTGTGCTTGCACGTGGGTCTTCTGGAGAAGTTTTGGTGTCATGCGTAGCATGCTCGTATGCATGTGTGTAGAAGTCATTAATACGTTGTATTTGCACAGATAGGGCTGTAGTATTTCATAAATAAAAACAACACCAGAGGCTGTGCAGAACCACAGAGCCTGGCTGGAAGTGCAGCACCAACTGTTGGTAAATGTATTGAAGTTTAGTATTGTTTAGTATTGTTTCATATCACAATATGTCCACAACCCGTTTTGGACCTCATGCAATAATATTTTAGCATTCTTATCTCACTTTTTCCTTGATTGTACTAGTGTTCCAAGTCACCAAACTCTCTTTACTTCACAGAACTTCCACTTGATAGGGACAATTTGCATAATGTATGCTCTTAGGCTAAGTTTTATTCACAGCAATGTTACCAAAGAGTGAAAAGAAGAATTTCACACCAATGAGCTTTAAGTTTTGCTTCTGGAAGGAAGCTGTTGAAGAAATAATAGATGCAGTACTAGATGTGTCAGTAGTGGTAAAAAGACTTGAGACAATTAGAAAATATTAATTCAGATGAATATATAAACATCAATGCTAATCATAAATTCTGGGAGTCCAAGTTGACATCTGAAAATCGCTTGTTTTCTCTGCAAATCTTTACATTTGGAACATTGAATATTTGGCATTTTTAATAAATCAAAATAGTTGCTGATTCATTTTCAAATTTCAGCAGTAAGTGGCTTATTTTCTAGATTCCACACTTATGGTGAGACGGCAGCGTCTGTTGTTACTTTGGATCAAACTCTTGAGGGACAAAACAAAACCTCTTGTGGTTACTGCTGCCACTGAAGTGGTACTACACTGTAACTCATGAAATGGCTCGGTGCAGTCAGTGATTAGATTGGTGATTTTGTGATTATATTGTTGAATGAATGACTCATCGGCCTGGCACTGCTATCTGAATTCAGAAAGGATTTAATGCTACAGGGAGTCTGCAGTTGAGATCAGCAGCCTCAGAGCCCATCACTCATGATCCCACATGATTAGCTTCTGGTGAGAAGTGGCCATGATGAGGGATGTAACCACGTGTTCCAGTATATTATATGCAAAACATTTGCTTCCATGCTTGCTGTTTTGTTAATGCTACTCAGTCTCAAAAAGGAAACATTAGCATATTTTTAAAGCCTGATTATTATTGCCTGGTCAATGCCAGGCTAAGTTTTTGTTGAAAAATATATATATTTTTAAAGACATCCAAGTTACATATCACAGTTGCTTCAACAGCATTTATTTCAATGTGAAGTCTTAACAATCATTGAAATGATTACCTTGACAACTAAATAAAGTTTCCCTTTTCAACTAAAGTTTCCCCGTTTAACTTAATAATGGGACACATTTTGAGATTTACATTTAGATGATCATCATGTTGATAATTTATACTTTGACAGGCAAGTTTGGAGGTTAAATGTCTGCTCACTGACTAATCTAAATATGGAAAAACTAAGAAGGTGAATGTCAAGTAAAATAACAATGAAAACTAATTTCAACTAAATTCACACGATCAACATGATTAGGGGAAACAAAAGTGTTTTCATAAAATAGTTAGTAATAGTAGTGTAGCCGAGCTACAGAAAGAAGAGGACTATATTGCCCAACTCCTATCTCTGTATCAGTAGTAATTACTCTCTTGAATGTCTGAAAGTCCAATTACCTGAGCAGGAGAGAAGAGCCGACATCGATGGTGTGCGTGTCCCTCATGAGTTACATGAGCTCCTCCTATATCTCGTAGCGGCGCCATAACCCCACCAATTGGACCCCCGACTGTCCCCGCTGTAATTGCACCAGACGCTCCTCCGCCCACACCGGCCCCACTTGCAGCGCCACCTGTGGCCCCTGCGATGGCGCCGATGCCCCCCATCATGCAGCATAGGCCTCCCTGAGCCAGCTCCATCTCAATCTCGGCGTCCATCTCAGCATCCTCCTGTGCCTCCTTGTTGGAATCGTCCAGATGCTTCATGAGCACAGCGACCACCACGTTTATCAGAACAAACTGAGCCGTGAGCACGAAGGACACAAAGTACATCGGGGAGATGAACTGTAGTCCAGCGTGGCAGCCGTAGTCGTTTCCCGGACCATCCGGTGGGCACTCCCTCAGTGTGTCCTGGTGGGTGGTATTGGGAGAGTTTAGGAGTGTGGAAGAAAGGGTCAGATAGAAGAAGAGGAGGAGAGGGTGGACGAAATGGAAGAATTGTGAGATTTAAGTGAGAAGGACAGAAAGAGTAAAGGTGGAAATTTTAATTGGCAATCCATGAAAGTGCAGAGTGGTAGGTGTTGTATGTTGGTTTAGGTCATTTCAGTAAGGTCTGCGTGAGGTGTATTTTAGAGGAGAGGGTGTGGCGATCAATAAATATACTCTCAGCCGGTCACATCGCCAGTTTCATCGCTCTGAAACAGCTCAGCCAACTCTCATGATCTGGCTTGTTGAAAGGTAGAGGCCTGACAAATTTTCCTGTCTGTCTTCCTTTCGTCTACAGTCAGTCATTCTTTCTGAGAGCCTAATCAGCACTGATTAACTTTCTCTTGGAAATGGGCTGTGATCAAATTTTAAGAGCTCAAGGTACTTGGGTGTGATTAGAGAGTGAGAGATGATGGAATGAAGTGACGGGATCAAACACTCAGAGTGGAAATTTTAATCTTTATTCAGCCATAGAAGGATTTTGTTGAGTGCACATTTACTTTTTTAACACCGTCTTTGCTAAAGGACACACTCATTACACACTCATTTCCCCTACCTAAATATGGTCTGATCCTGAAATCTGAACTCAAGACCTTCAATTATAATTCTGCTTCTCGGCTTCTGTCTGTGCTTTGATTGGTGAAAAATAGTTCTGGGCAGATCAAAAATATATGCTTCTATGTAAGTCTAGACTTTCAAGTAGAGCTGCTTTAGGCTTCCCCCCTGTCTGATTGACCCTTATTGCAGACAATGTGTGCTGTCTTCACTGTAGGAGATGAGGTGACACAGAGGAAAGTGAAAACCGATCAGCTTAGTCAATTACATAGCCCAGTCCAAGTGACAAATGTCAAGAGATAAGTGTGAGATGAACTCATCAAAATGCAACTGTAAACTGAAGTACCTTCATGATGCCGTTCCAGTTGTCGCCGGTGGAAACCTGGAAGAGTGTCAGGAAGGCCATCCCAAAGTTTTCAAAGGTGGCGTGTCGGCTCATTCCTTCGCAGGGGTAGTCGGCGTTACACACTGACAGAAGACATGATGAGAAAAGAAAGAGGGGGAGAAGGGAAGGGAAGGGTTTGGAGAGTAAAACCTTTGTAATGTCAAACCTTTATGAAGGTTACCTGAGAGTTCACAGCTTTAAATCGGTTTCTTTGGTCAGAATAGTTGTGAAAAAGTTTCCTTTGTTCTTTTCATACTGCTGAATTACAAATGAGCCAGATCTTGCAAACAAAATTCACATAGATGAACAAAGGACTGGAGTACACTGGTTAGCATTGTTTTTTGACATCAGTATGACTTCATCAGAGGCAGATTGGACAAATACATATATGGTCATTCAAGAATAGGTGTAAATTTGTCACTAGATGGTATGTTGAATAGGATTTAAAATATATTAGATAACAGATGGGAGTTGCCACTTTCTCTCATCTTGAGAAGGTTATGAAGACAGGATTAATCGATTAACATTTAATTGTGATTGGTCAAAAAACATAATTTGATACATAAACACAAAGTGATACTATAGATAATTCTTATGTATTTGACAACTGAAAAGCTAATTTCCAATTTAGAAACAACAGAGTGGCCTGACAGAAGGGCAGCCCTGATGGTTACTGAACAAACACAACACTAATGAACCACATGGTGTTCATTACAGAAAGTGCTTTAAAAAGGCTATAATTTGAAAAGAAATAGGTCATATCTTGTTTTGGGAACAGTTATTAAAGTGTTTTTCATCACTTGATTAGCAACAACTTGATGGTAGAGCAGACTTACCAAGCTCTCCAAACAGCTCCACTCCCAGAGCTGCATAGATGAAAAACAGCAACATGAAGAGCAGACCAAGGTTTCCCACCTGTCACACAAAAAAAAATATTGTATGAATAAATGTGACTCATATACCTGTTTTAACTGTAGTTAAGCAGGTGTACCTCTATATTTAGGTATGTTGGGCCAGATTTTATAGATACTGATTCAGTGGTTACGCCATTCCTACTCAAATACCCACCAGTGTCACTTACATAGTACTGATGGCAATACGCTGTGCCGTTTAAATTTCAGAATGAAGCAGTAAAACTACTTCAATTATGGCAAAAACGTATTTAAGGCCACAATGACCTTTAACCTTTAAGTCAAAAGTGTCACCAATTTATTGTCCAACCAATTGTTCTGTTCCTGAGTTATGGTGTTGAATATTTTTATTTATTTTGTTGAAGGACATGCATTCAGATTTGTGAAAATAAGATTTGTG